GGGGGGGGGGCGAACTTACCTCGTCGTCACCGAAGTCGATCACCGCCTCCGCGTGGGCGAGACAGCCTTTCAGCTGGTGCCGCCATTCCTCGTACATATCTCGCAAAGCGCCGCCCATCTGCTTCAGAGCCTGTCCATTAAGGCACACACACACCAATCGAAACACGACATCTTTCAAATTGTGTTTTGGTCACGTCTTTTCAATGGCCAGTCAGCATAAAATCGAAAAACGAAAACTAAAGATGCACAGACGGGGTACACATTAAAAGCTCAATCGAGTAGACGGGTACCAGACGTAATTTCGAATCGGCGATGCTTGCAGCAATGTGTGCACAGATATTTGCTGTGGGCACGGACAGGCCAATCTCTAGATCGTTGCAAAACAACAAGCTGTCTAGTATCAACGTACTACAGTAGTCATCGTGTACAACCACGTAGCGTTTCAGCGGATGAGGGCTGTGTTGTGGCACAATCGACTAAGAGATCTGTTATCCTTTGTTTGGGGCAGCTTGCTTCCTTGAGATGGACGAGAGAGGGGGGGGGNGAGGAGCGTCGCCGTCATCATCCCATATCATCTGGACGTCCGTATTACACCTCTCGGTCATGTTAGGACGCACCGGCCGGTTCACAAAGGACGAAAAAGCCGCGCCGGATACTTGAGCGGGTACGATAATTCTTCAAATGTTCTCCTCGCGGAAACTTGCAAGCGGACATGCATTCTTGTACTCGGAGCGCGTATGTATCTGCACTGGCAGCGCGGCTAGCACCTGCTTCCTTTGTGCAGCCGTGTCTGCGGCGACGAGGTCGGCCAGCCCCTCCACGCCCGTCAGGTCCATGCGACCGTTGCCGTAGGCCCTCTGGGTGAACTCCCCCCGCTCCGCCAGCCGTACCCTCCTCAACCCCGAGGCCGCCCCCATGGCTGCGAGAGCGTCCAGGACGCCATTGATGACGGCGCGGCTGCCGTGGGTGTGCAGCTCTACCGTGTCCTCGCCGGTGAAGCTGGTGCATAGGTCCCGGTGACAGCAATGGTGGGTGGGGGGGGGGGGGG